CGACACACGGCACGGGGAAGGAGAAGGGGCAGCAATGGTGTTCGGGGGCACCTGTCTCCAGATGGTCCCAAGTGGTCCCAAAAAGCTCCAGTGCTGCGTGGTCCCGCCGCCAGAGGCGGCCCCTCGGGACCGGGTTCAGAGCCACCGGCGAAGTCGTGTTTCCCCCTGGGAATGTAGTGATCCCTGTCTCCCTGCACTGCCTCCTTTAGCTGGGATGTGTCCCAAAGCACTTACAGAATCACCAAGGCTGGGAGAGACCTTTGGGATCATCCAGTCCAACTATGCACCAAGTGCTCTGTAACCCCTAAATCACATCCAACACCTCCAGGCATGGTGACTCCACCACCTCCCTGGGCAACCCATTCCAATGCCTGACACCTGAACAGTGAAAATATTGTTCTGATATCTGATTTGAATTGCCCATATCAGCTTAAGGCCATTTCTTCTGCTCCTCTCACTGAAGATACAGAGGAAGAAACTGGCCCCCACCACACTACAACCTCCTCTCAGGTAGTTGTGGAGAGTGATGAGGTCCCCCCTGAGCCTCCTCAAGACTACACAAGCCCATATAAATAACTTGTTTGAGGGCACAGAGCCCTGTCAGTCACACCCAGCCCGTCACTGTGGGAGCACAGCTCCAGAAGGTCACGGAGCCGCCTGCCAGCACCTGCCACTGCACCCAGAGCAGCAGGACTTTAAATAACCCATTTTGTCCCTTTCCTGTCCACCTGTCATGGAAGAGCTCAGTGCAGCTTCACAGCTACAGCTTACCCGGGTTTGCTCTTAAAGGAACAGCCAAGTCACTCTTTTCTATTGAAATCAGCACCACATCAGTCATAGACGAGTGTTATGACACAGATCGGGCTGAGAAACAAGTACAGCTTCGAGGAAATAGGAGTTACCCATTTGTATTTGCTTCTCAGTCACACATTAGCCCATTCTCCCTGCTTGTTTCCTCTTTTGCCTCATCAAATTGCCCTTACAAGGCCTGGATTAGTTCCTGCCTCCTCAGGGGTCTTGACTTTCGTTTTTTGGTTCCTACTCCCACCTGTTGCTTCCAAATCCCAATTGTTTTTTTCCTTTTGTATTCCCAGCTGTCACTTCCCACCAGCTCTGTCTTTGCTTCCACTGCCACCCACAACAGCTGCCACATGTCCAGGATTTGGGTTGTGCTTCCCTGGGCAAAGACCAGCAGAGAGGAGCTGCCATCCCTTCGTTCTCTGGTTTCACACACAGCAATGACCACCACTGGTCACAAAAGGGAAGCAAAGCATCACAGCTTTATAAATGCAAGATTATCATATCCTTCCCAAGAGGGGTGTCCCAAGGCCTTTCTGAAGCCCTTCACAGCAAGGTAACTCCTTCCATACTCTGCCTGCACCTCCCAACATCAATTAAAATGGATATCTTCCCATTCAGAAAAGGTAAGCTCGTGTGTAGGGCTTGGTTTTCTTCCTCCTGTTTCCTTTGGGTCTCTTGACTATGCAGGTGTATTTCCTTGGGGTTTCTTTTTCCTCATTTCTCACCTGTAATTTACTGTTATTTTGTCTTTCTCTAGATTAGCCTTTGAAGGTCTGTAATTTGAAATAGCAGTGCAAAGTTTGAAGGCTAATTCCAAGCAGGAACATAACGATCCAAGCAGTATCTGCCAGCTCCCTACTAAAATCCCTTGTTTAGTCTATAAATTACCTGGTATTCCTGAAGTACATGATCAAGGTGATCCACTGATGTATCCAAAGTCAAGTAATCATTCATTTTAACTGCTATACTGTTAAAAACACATTTCCACTATCTGTTTATACTGCCCTAAAACTAGCTATTATAAAAGAAAAAAGTGCACATTAATTATATATATTTAAAAGAATGTAAATATATCCAAATATTAAAAAATAACATATATAATAATATATATAAAATATTAAAATAAACATATATCATTTTAGACACAAAATACAAACCTGTGTTTTCATATGAAAAAAGAAAGCAGAGAGTTCAGTTTTGGGGGAAGGAAGAGGTGTTCTTTCACATAGTTTCTTTTTTTTTTTGCTTGCTTGCTTCAGTTTAGTGCTGGTGATGTGCTGTTCCCAGCTTCCTAAAACACCTTTTGTCCTAACTCTTCCTCAGTTCTCTTCCTGTTACAAAAGTTATGTGAACATCAGTACATTTTCTCCAGTTCTACATCCCTTTCCTCCCACTGACCAGGTACTGTTGCTTTAACAGCTTGGATTTTCTCCTTTTCCAAACAGAGCCTTCCTTGTACAGCCCAACCACGGTCTAACTTCTGGGGACATTTCATAAAAGGTCTCAAAACAACAGATGTTCACTTGCTGCTGGGGCTTGGCTCAAAGAATTTGACAATTCCCAGAGTGATGCCCTCTCTGCACTCTCCTCTTTGCTCTATGGAAAAATGAAGAAGTAAAACTAAGCCTCTGAGTTAGAGTCGTTGTTAAGCCCTGGGAAGGATGAGAGGAGAGCACCCAGTGGCTTCTGCAGCTGATTTCATTTAGTGTTTGTTCTTGCTGCTCACTCAGGAGGAACATGACTCAAATATTGTGAAAGAGCAAATGGCAACACAGCTCTCAACTCAGCCTGAAACTGCTCCTCTGTGTATGTACACAAACCCCACGGAGTTTCATTACAAAGGAAGAAGAGTGGTATCTGTGTGACACAAACCCTCGTTGTTACATGAGTTACCTGCTGTTACACAAGACTTTCAGAAATGACAGGTGATGCTCAGACCTAATACATAACTGGGTTTAATATCCCTGATACAATAACAACAAAAATAACCCCAAACACACAACAAAAAATTTGAAAGTTTAATTGCTAAATATTCAGTTACCTCCTTTCACTTCTTTCTAATGTTTTTCATTTTCTAAACCTCTAAGGCAGTTTTAGTCCTTGAATAACTGTTAAGGGGATAAATGTACAGTTATAATCCTGAGATACGGGGAGGGGTGTGAATGTATTCAGAGAAGATTTACATCCTTCTTCTCTCATCTTCTTGTAAGACCTTTATCAACTACTCTGATTACATCAAACAGAACAGTAGCATTTTCCCCTGAACTGCACTGTCCAAGTAGCTGTGCTGCCTATATCACAAACAGCTCATTCCTCATATTACATTACATATTACATACTACAGAGTCAGGATTCTGGCTTGTGTTTGAATTTCAGGTTGCACAGTTCAAGCTGCAAAACTGTGGCATCTTCCACATGCAGTGCCTGAGTACTGAGTGCTCACAAATCAGGGAGTTACATCTTTGCAGCCTTCCCATGGTAATGACTTTGTCAGGCTAATTAATAAAATTGGGGGGGATTTGGCAGCAGCTGATAATGATTAATGGCCTTACAATTTAGAGAGTGTAGAAGCAACTGCATGTTTTCCTCAAGAATTGACTAAACAGAGCTTCTTTGTAAAGGAAATCTTATATTTGCTCCTTGAGGTGAAAGTTCAGATCTCCCAGTATATCTATCCTTGGCTAGGTGTGTTACTACAAGACAGAGACATGATTGGTAATCATGATTAATTCCTGGAATTCGAAGTCAGCTGTAAATTTTAAACACAAACCCCTAGTTTGGCAAATGAAATTAGAAAATGTGCTAAATCCTCTCAAATCCAACACAGTAATGTGTGGAAGAAAGAGCACATTTCCTCCTAAGTATTTCTGCAGTGCAAAATGGGCATATAGAAAATCATGCAAGTCAATATAATTAGTAGCAACTCACAGTTTTACCTCCTTCCATCCCAAAGAATCTCACAGCCTTTATGGAGATTGTAGTAGAGAAATACAAACCAAGGATCATTTTACCACCCCTGAAATGCAACCAACTGCTTAACAATTGTACATCTATGCTGGGAGCCTGGTCTGCCACAGGAAACTTGCTCTGGATTAGGAACAAAGGTTCCCCCTTGGAATTTTTTAGACTCTATGAAATTTATGAGTATGGATATTAATTTTGTAGAGTCTACGAACATTTTTAAATGACTGGGCACACAAGTGAGTTGAAGGCACATGTGGAGCACACATAAGCTTGGACTTGATAGCAAAGCCTGACTGGCATATCAGGGCTGGCTGGGAGCAGCAGGGGCTGGTTTGCTGTGTGTGATCAGTGTGACAGCCCTCAGGAACCGCTGAGCCTCCCCGGCCCTACAAACAGTCTGGCACAGCCATTACCCAGGCAAGTACGTCCTGTTAGAACTGAATGGTGAGATAATGACAGAAGAATCTTCCACGTGTCCCTGCAGTTGTTGCAGTTTAAACCTTGGGATGAAAATATTTCGGGGCTGATAAGTGGCTTGAAGCAGGACAGTAGGTCAGTGACACTGACAGCAGGCAGTGACTAACAGTGTGTAGCTGAATAAATCCAGTGATCCTATTTACATTGGGGTTTATTTTTATTTTTGCTGAAATTCCCATTAGACATAGTTGCTAAACCTGATTTTTACTTTTTCCTATAGCAACATTTTTAACTTACCAGAGTATCTGCTTGGAATCCCTGAAGAGATGGATGGTCAGGTGCTCACTCCCAGGTATCAGAGGCAAAGAGGCAGGCAAAATATTCTGAAAAACCTTAAATGACATTGAAAGGCCATGAAACCTGAGCCACTTCTGTACATGAGACATAAGCTTTGTGGGTGCTTAAGAATGTTTTGTTCATATTTTGCAGATAAGGTGTACAGTTGTGAATTTTGTTATTAGAGCCAGTCCATCCTGCAGTGAGGCAATAGTAGACTTCAACCAAGCTCAATACAGCTACAATTTCACAAAAATGTTTGAAAAACCAGATGTTTATTTGAAATCAGCTGGTGATTAAATGGTATATGTTGTGGTTGGGTTTGTGTCTCCATCTGAGGCTTTATTTTGCTACAGATGATCTGTGTAATGAAAGCTCTCATGAGAAAAACTGAGCACTGACAAGAAGTATTCCTAGGTAAAATGATCAATCACAAATAAATACACTTTCAAACTGGAATACAGGAGGATTTATACTGGGAGTTGTTCTGGAATACTTGTGCCAACCAAATTTTTATGTAGAAGGCCCTGAAATAATTCCCAGGGGAAGTAGCTCCTCAGTTGCCTTCAGTGATGCTCTATCTGAAGCAAGGCTGAATTTCCTCTCAGAAGCTCTTGTGCTAGAGAGGATTTCTAAGGAAACACAATAAATATAGATAAAAAAGCATGGAAGTGACAGTAGTAAAAAATGAAATGAATGCTGAATTGAAGCTTTAGGATAACTAAGGAAAAACTATACTTTGTGCTTCTGTGGGTTCTCCTGCAAGGAGATGTACAGAAGATCCCCTCCCTCTTCTCCACTCACAGGGAAATTAAAAGGGAGCCAACATTTCTACAGACACAATTTATAAATGTTTGCTTTCCAGGATTTTAACTCTGGCCAATTCTCCAAACTCTTATTTATCATCTCCTCAGTCCTGCAGCAGGAAAACTCTTGCTGAATCCTAAGCAAAGTTGAGTAACACTTCTAGATTTGGTCCCTCAGGAATAGCAGTAGAGACAGATTTTACACTCTGTATTTCATCCATTGTCTCCTTACCAAGTGGCAGCGGGTTTTGTGGGAATCATTAAAAACTTCCCTTGTGATTCCCACTATTGATATTTGAACTCTCAGGGGGAGTAACCTCTGTCTCTATCCAAAAAGCATCAGATTAAAATAAACATAACATTGCTCAGTGAAGAGTGAGGATGTTAATGACAATTCTGGGGTTTGAAGTTGGCATTACTCAAACATTTGCAGCGTGTCTTGAGGCCTGTGTAGGAGTGTGGTGACAGGAAAGGTGAGGCAAAAGACAGGCAAACATGTAGGAATCTGTCATAT